ATAAATATTTTCCACCAATTCATAAAGTCACCAATCAGTTGGAAACTTTCTGCGGGGATGCGAATAATCAGAAAGTGTCAATAAAGGTGTAACAATTATCTAAATTTTTTTTAAAGCTGGAATTTTGCATAAAATTATTTTATTTTTTAACATGCGTGTTTCTTATTTAATATTTATTAAATTATTAGTATTGTAGATCTGTTTAATGTGTAGATAGTTTTAACTATGCAGTATGGAAATAGGCCTTAAAAAAACCACTCATGGTGTCACTGATGCTGAGCTTTAAGAGCAACAATATGTATTACTACTTAGACAGTTCTATATTACCGAGCTATTGCAGGTGCAACGTTGCCGGTTCCTTAAATTAAGCCCAAGGGCACATGACATAATGAATTCAGGAAATGGAAAATATCTCGGGTGAGAAAACGGAGAAAGGAAAAGTGAGAGAGGTACCAAAAGGAAAAAGGCTATAGGTTATCTAGCAGATGAACGGAACTTGACAAGATGAAGAAAATCCGAACGGATCCTTCACAATTCAGAGAAACGACAAATCCGAAACATGATTCAAAATGCTATACAACAACAACAAAAGTTCAATATTACTATAAAACTACACAAATTCAACCCATACAACAGAAAATCAATACGCAACGACTATTACAACATCACACTAGCAATCCAAACAACTTAGAGTACAGCACTGTCTTTATCAGATAAAATGAAAGAAATTACCGCCTTCAATTGAGGAGCAAGAGAAGAAGCAGAAGTCTCATCCCATGAAGGCGTGAGCAGCAAGTGGTCTTATGTTGCGGTCTTCGTTGAGTATTTCGTAGTTGAAGACTTGGGAATAACTCACATAGTCGCATTGGACAGCTTTACAGAAGAATTTCTCATTTGTTCTTTTAATAAATTCTGTGACGTTTTCAAGCTTAAGATCTCTATGAAGAAGTTCATTTCGGATGAGAAAGTCAGCATCAGTGATAATATGAAGAAATTTATTCTGCACTATTTGACGTTGACGTAATTGATTAAGAGAGGCAGTATTCCAAGCTGGAGATGCATAAAAAAGAATAGGTCGGATACAAGTAGTATAAATATGTCTCTTGGTTCTTATGCTAAGGTTAGAAAATTTTCCAAGTACTGGAAGAAAGCTGCACATAATTCCATTTGCTTTATTTTTAACATTCTTAATATGGTTGATAGCTGCCAGTGGGTTGTTTTGCATGGCTGTTGGCAACTTTCTGGCTGGAATCAGGATTTATTGCTTAATACGGGCTCGAAAATTATTACTGTATCTATGCAGACAGCTGATTGGTACGAAATGGGAAGCATGCATTGCTTACTTATTTGTTTTGGAAAAATAATTTGCATTATGCGCACGCTGAAGTAGTAGTATAAATAATTTCGGCTACATTCATATCGTGATGTAAGCTTAAGAGAAACTGGTGCGTGTTCTCACGTTGTGGTATAATTAGCTGAGATAACCGTTATAATATCTGCTGCTATAAGTATTTGACTATGACCGTGTCTTCACTCACTTTTTCTCTCACGAACAGACCCCAATATCTCCAAATCTTAGAGAAATTGGCCGACGTCATTGGAAATACTGAAAGAAATTATTTGTGATCATGTGAAAAGAATTATAATTGAACCCACATTAATGCTGTTTAGAATGCCATGCCATATCTGACGACTGTTCTCATAAAGGTACTGTGCATTCCGATGGTGTATAAAAGAAGAGAAATTCCACTTCTGTGGCATTTGAATTTGACTCAGTTCACAATACCTCGCAAACAGGTTCGAGCACAATGTGAACATTTGTCACCGGCTGAGAGAGGATGTGGAATCAGCCTAAAAAAAGTAGGGTGATCAAACTGAAGAAGTGCTCGACATTTGGGTCGGAATGATGCGCCGTTTGGTGGTGTTGGCAGGAATGGTTTAGCTATAACGGATCACACAGTCAAGAAGGCAGCGATCGATCTGTGAAAATCTACCAGCGGCCGAGCAGTAAAGTTGCTGAACAGTCGTAGTTTGGTTGGAAGTTCGAATCTCGGCGAATGGACTAGCTGCATGGGCGTTTTAGTAGTATTCCCCATGTGCAACGTGTATACGAGCCAGTTTCCCTTAGTAATTTCTCCACGGAGGCATTCTTTCTCTTAGGCAGATAGCCCTCTAGTACTAGGAAGACGACAGAACGTGAGAACAGAGCAGTCATTAGAGCGGCTCTCGCAGCATCTGGTTCGTCATTACCCTCGATGCGACATGTAACTAGATAACTGGCAGCCTCAAATGTTATTCACAAGTGACTCAGAAAATGGGGCTTACTGCTCACCTGTGCACACAGACAAATCCATTAGAAGTGGTGCCAGCTTTGTTTGAGTTGGAACTGAGCTACGATCACCAGCGAAGATGTTTCTGAAGACCTCCAGAGCAGGGGTGGGATACTGACCTGACTATTCTCTGTCACACAGCCTGAATACAGAGAGTTCTTACCTGGCGAGCCAGTTCATTCAACTATCGCACCCCTATAGTTGTCATCCGTTGCACCATTACAGCATGATAATATTGAACGCTCCGTTGTGTTATTTTGCCTTGCAAGCACCTCCTGCTTACATTTCAGCAGAATAATGCTCAGCCTCATACACTAATCATTTCTGCTGCATGTTCCGTCGCCAGATCTCTCTCCAATAGAGCGTTTTTGAAGTCTGAAAAACGAGTTTCGCCGGTCTGTCTGTGTAATTAGGAGTTCGGTCAAAATATCTTGTAGAAGGTAATCTGCTAACCCTACCAGTTAAGGCCGAGCTGAATAACATAATGGCCAGAGGTGGGCCAACGCCTTACTGATTTATTCGCTACAAGTATCTTTTGACTAAAACATTCAATTCCTTTGAAATTATTCCACACATATATATTATGTCTATTGAACTTTCATCCCATTCGGGTAAATCTTCTTTAATTGCTTCATTTTTGTTTTCTGTTTTAGCGTACATAACGTAATAAATATCTGGGACATAGTGGAAGCTTCTAGAGCTGTTTCCAACCTCAGAATGGCAATTCATCCTGAAAGTTTAATGCAGTTTAACAGTTTAGTTTGTAAAGAAGAATTTTTGAAGCAGAGTCGAAGGTTGGGTTTTCACATATGTCTATCTCAAATTCGGGCAAAATTTTGAAATTAAAACAGCAGTGGGGCTCGTAAGATGGCTCTGAAATGAACATGACTAACATCAACTGATAAGAATAATTTCATGCGATTCCTGGGATAACGTCGCAGTTCAGTGCTAGGGCCTCAACAAACATAAATGTGAGGATTGCACAGCATTCTTTTCATGATATGGGCTTTAGAAGCCGTCGCTCAGCCTGACGATATAAAGCTATGTGCTTATCTCATTAAGATCGCTACAGAAACATTTGATGTCTGGAAAAAATGTAGCCCGGTCTGATTAGCACCGTTTTTAAACAGATGGAAGAATTTGTATACAGAGAAAACCCTATGAAGCCATTAACGCTATACTTGAAGAAGATACTTTACGGGCTGTAATGTTAGGAGAATTTTTTAGCTTGCATTTCAGTGGGACCTCTGTAAGACTGGCTTAATATATTTAGAAGCCTTAAGTACTTAAACGATTATGGTACCATCACACATATTTACAGTATAATGCTTGTTTTCCCCTCATTCCTTCTCTTTCGGTGTTGATTTAGTTGCACAATACATTCCAAGGTAAAATCGGCATGAGGAACTTTTATGGTACTCCCTTTGCATGATGCTCTAAGCATATGCTTATTTTGCTCAATGCTAATCCAACTATTATTTATAAACGTTTCGAACAACTGAACACTTTGTGCCCATCTTCCCTGATCAGTTATACACGTTCATGACCTGCGTTCATTCTTGTGGATTTGGTCTTTTTTAACACTATAACACAAGTTTAGAGATGCTAAATTATGGTTGTAGGAACTCTCATCTGAGTATAATGTCAGATCCATCTAAGTCTTGCCAGGTCCACCTAAGCGTTATCGAACTCATCTGAAATGCCATACAACTCGCTGTGGGATAATCATCACTTCCAAATACACCAAATAACTAAACTGCTTTACAGTAAGGATACAGTATTCATTGTATGCAGAATATTACTGTATATTCGTGAAATCCACTTTTTTGCAGTTCTGCGCTTTTATGAGGGACTTGTCCAACTAAATTTGTGCGCTAGTTTTTCTGGAACTTCATTGTATACATATAAGACTTAATTAAAGATCATCAAGTGAATAAATAAATAAAATAATTAATTATTAGATAAAATATAAACAGATAAAGGGTAAATAAGTTAATGAAAAATTGCTGAATATAAATTAAAATACTCAAATTCCTCATATTTGGAGCTGGGACCAGAATTAAAATTTCACTAAAAATCTGAGAAGCACCAGAACCGGTCTTCGGCTGAATTTAACCCATGACTACTGCATGGTACATGATCTTCAAATTCGTAATAATTTTTGGCGCCTTTGTAGTTAATTTTATCAATTCACTTTGAAAATTCAAAATTTGAAGTTTGATTTCTGACTGTTTTTCATGTTATATGCATTTTTATGGAAAAGTAAAAATGGTTTGGTTTTAGGTTGGCTATAGCTTCATAACTAATTAAAACACATGTAATTTTCCCAAGAATGTAGGGCCTAATTTTTTTAGTTTCTGCCCAAATTTTTCTAATTTAAATATAATAAAAGCGGTAAACGTTCCAGTCTTTCACACAAATAAGAGCATATAAATAAGCACATTAAATGAAGTTTCAAATGGCATAAAATTAGTACCAAATTTGTTTAATATTAAAAAGCAGTTGATTGCAGTTTCGTTTGCATATGAAAGAAACTTACAATATTTTAGAAGGCCAGATTAGAATGCATATTACTTTACCACTGTTTGAAACTGGAATGTGAACTTTGGAATGTATCTCTGTGACTTTACTATAAAAATCATTGTACTTATCACTATTAATTCTTTTCAGATATATTTACACGAATCAAGTGTCCTTCTCGACAGTGGATTCTACTTTACGTCTGTTACATCCAAGTCAAGTATATCATCTTCCACAACTTACTTCTCACTGCCTCAGTCACATTTCAAAAAATGTTAACCCATCAAATGTTCTTATGGTGCTTAGTCATCTTCTTTGTCCAGAAGTCCATCATCCTTCCATCAGTTTCTCACCGATTACAACACTGAACGATAACTCATCAAATGAAGAGAACCACGAGAACGATAATGAAAGAAACGAACTCGTTTTCAAATGCTTCCTTATAGTAGACCGTCATGCTGATGAAGTGTTGCAAAGCGAACAGTTTGAGACTCTTGAACATGAACTCATGGTTGAAATAGTGAAAAGAGATACGCTGGAAGTTAGCTCTGAAGCTATTGTGTTCGATTCAGTTATGAGATGGGCTTGTAGAGCATGCAAAAAACAAAGAAAAGAATTAACTTCAGATAACAAGTGCTCAGTATTGGGGAAAGCTCTTTTTCTAGTCAGATATCTCGTAATGACACCAGAAGAATTCCTTCGAGGACCTGTTAGTCAAGGTGTCCTGAGCAAAGAAGATAAAGAATTATTTCTATCCCGGTTAACAACCCATAATTCCTCCCCACAAACTTCACTTCCAGATCGCTGGAGCACATGGAAGATAGCAGTAAAACGACAAAATTATCACAGTCTTCTTCCAGTAACATCTCCTCACTCTGAATTGCCGTCCAGCAATACAGACATGTCTGTGTCACCATCCAATTCAATCCAACCAGTGAACTCGAACGTTAAGAGAAATGACAGAAAGAAAAAATCAATGTCCAAAAAGCTGCTCAATGGAATGGGTGATTTGGTTATCTGTGTTATCCAACTGCTTGATTAAAATTGATACTCCATTTCCAAAATAACTTAGTATCATTAACTAGACACTCTGTATTAGACAGTAATCCAGAATAAACTTTCAGGTAATATTTTTATAATGTGATATATGTTTAAGAACTTAATGCATCAGAGCATACATTTTTGTAAGATTTAAATTCTTACTCAAGGTACTGTACTTCATGTTTATCTGCCATTATGAAATGTTCTTAAAGTGCTGATAATAGACTTAATGATCAAGAATGTCTATTCTAGACAACGTTCATGTTTTCTTATGATATTTTGATTCTGTTAAGTCCACCAGGTAGAACAAATTGCTTAATTTTGTCCTATTAGTTATGTTACCATTAAATTCTTTAACATTTTGTTACTTTGAATAATGTTTGCATGCTCGCTGCATTAAGTATTATGCTTTTGTATTTCATTTTATTGTAAATATGATTTATGTGTGAAGATTTAGAATCCTCCTTTATTAGCCATATATTACTGTTATGCTAACTGTTTATTGTTTAGAATGTTTATATTGTTTTTAGGAAAAGAGCTGAAAATTTGGCTTTGTTGTAATGTTAAAACTAATCCAGGTGATTCTTTCTATTAGCAAATATTCAAAACCACTTTGTTAAAAATTCACTGTAAAGTTCTTTAGTATCTGCTTACATTTATTTCCTTTGGCAAAAGTTTTAAAACGTATTTGGTATAGCCTAAATTATATTAAAGAAATCTTTTTTATAAAAAGGATAGAAAATACATAAAAATCAAAAACAATCTGTGAACAATTTAAAGACACCAAAAATAAATTAACATTTAATCATTATATATTTGTATGAATTAAAAATGTAAACACATATACAACTTTTGCATCATAAAAATATTTTAAACTTCTTTTTCAACATCCTCAATTCTTAAAAAATGAGTACTGTTTTAAGATATATCCATAAATAAGTGAAAATTTATTTACAAAATATGGTATTCTTAAATGCATTTCCTACTTTATTTATAATCTGAATGGCAACAGAAATTTCTTCATTAACAATATATTTAAAAACAATTATACTATGTCAGTAGAGTCTAAACTATCTTGGTTTTTGTATCATATAAAATTATTTGAATTACATACACAAACTTTGAAATTATTCATACATAAACATATACAATTCTGTTTCTATCACCCATAAATGTTTGTATACTATTTTATGATAATGTGAGCATTAGTCTAATCTCACACTGAGCGTATAATGCAGGAATTAATATTAAGACTGAACATTTTCTCTCTCTATCAGAAAAATAAGCTTAACAATAAACTTTCAACAAGCAGTTGCTTACAGGCAATCTGAGCATTTATTTCGTATATAACATATTAATATGTCAGCATGTACAGCATTAGAAACTGTGCAGACTATACACCTTTCAGAAGTTGTAAAGTATTTAGATAAAATACTGTCTCACCAAGGATACTGAAAAAACTTCTCCCAGTTAAATTGCAGTCTATCGTGAAAATTGAAGCATTTTATTTTTTTCAAAACGTCAAAAGTCTCTATGTTTAACAAATTTATAACCAATTAAAATCTTGTTCATACTGATACAAATATAAGATTCCTCAATCTGCCTTTCAATACAAATTACATTGTCAGCAATATTATAGTACTTTTTCTATGAAAGATTAAGAATTTCTCTCTTCCTTTGAATTTAATAATATATAGCTATAGATTAGTTTTTCTATGAATAAATAATTTTTAAATGTTTATGTTTCTATCATTTTCAAAATTCTCATGAAGACTTCTGAGTTCTATGAGATAATATAGATTCTACGACTAAATTACAACAGTTTCATGTTTGATAAATCTAGTCCAACTTGTTTTGATTTTAATTGAATTTCTCTTATTAATGCTCAAGTATTATTACAAGAATAATAAAACATACTGTAGTACTTTTTCATGTACTTCTGCTGTTATAATGGTATTGTTATGGATTTGTAATACTTTAAAATTGTAACAGCTTTTTTGCATACATCATAATAAAATGTTTCGTGTAATAAAAACACAATATTCTCTGTTTAATTTACAAATTTAGAATTGGTCTTAAAGGTCTTCCAATTTCAAAAAATCTGATGAAGACACCATGACTTCCTTGCAGGTAATAGTAAATTATACGCGTTTTTTGCTGCATTTCATTTAAACATTTTCCTCGAAATTGATTAGAGATATATTTCTCCTTCAATTAATAAAGTTCTCACTTTGCGACAAGGCAAAAAATGCATGAAACCTCAAAATGTCTTCATTAAAAACTGAAAAGTATAGAAAAATATAAAACACAAAACACAGTTAAAACAATTAAACAATTTTTTAAATTAAATTTAGAGTTCCTGCACAAAAGCATGCAATTCGGCCAGGCAAGAAGGCAGAGTTTTCTATGCACAAAACTTAAAGTTTACTTTTAGACCCACTCGGCAAAAAAATACTGAAGGTGCAGAAACTGACTTAATTCACTATTCTGCTAAGTTTCGTATGTAAAAAAAATATGGCTGCTGGGGTAAAAAAAAAGTTAAGCTTAGCCGCACTTAAACAACTTTTAAATTGTTGATAATTCTACAACTATTGTATGCAGATTAACTAAAAGCATAAAAACATTGACCGGAAAATAAGAAGAAGGTAACTCAATCATTTTAAAGCAAAAAATGCACAATTTACCAACATATAAGAATAAAAAAAAATTGAGCTCACGAAGTCAAGTAAGAAAGTGGGTACACACACACACACACATATATATATACGAGTATATACAGTAGAACTCCAGAAATCCGCAACGCTTGGGGCCAGAGGTTGTGTGGATTTTAGGATTTTGCGGATTTCAGGACAGAAAAGATAATAATCAGACTGAAAGTGCAAAATAAATAAGGCGTATTAAATACATTTAATTAAATTATTATATACATTAATACAATAATTGATTATATGCATTAAATTATTATTACATATATAAACTGATTATACTATTATATTGTTCATTTACATTAGGCTCCTCTATTTTTAAATCAGCATGTATATGCTTCCCTTTTTCTCTTAGGAGTAGTCCTGAAACAGGTACCCTAACACTCCGCCGCTGCCGAACTACTCGTACAAGACAGCATCGAGGTTTGCCGATTTCGTCTCATGTAAAGATTGCCGGTTTCGGATTTTGGTGTTAGAATCACTCTTGCTGTAAAATTTCAACAGCTTTTCTTTATTGTTCCGTATATCAATGACAGTCCGTGTGGCAATTCCATACGATTCTGCTATAAACCGAGCAGTAGCACCTGCCTCCATCTTTAGCAGAATTTCCACTTTTTTCATTACCGTCAATGCAACGTGTTTACATTTTTCAACGTTGCAAGCAGTAAAATCACGAGTGCGTTTCTTATCTGTCGTTGTATTAAAAAGCGCTGAAATTTAAAATATTCTTAATTTATCCATAAAATATCCGGATAAAAAAACAACGTCACTAAACAATCTCGTGAAATAGCAAAACTCATAAAGTACTACAACGTGAAGCGTGAACTTGAAAGAAGAGTTAAGTGAATCGTCTGCTTTTTTACCTCGATGCAGATTGGAGAGAAAAATTTTATCATGATGTCAATAATTTGGTATTTCCGTTATGATCCATTATTATTCGGTAATTATGACGTCATTATCCAGTAAGTATTTTTTCTTCAATATTTCGTACTCCATTTTGCGATTTCCGGAACCTATAAATATTATTTTGAGATATTTTGAGAGGCAACGCGGATTTTAGGTCTCCGGTCAGGCGTCGGTATTTGACTATATTTATATACTTTTAGTATTACCGATTGCAACCAAAAAGACAGGCGCACAGCTACATGTTATAGCAGTCCTTTATACAAATTTTCAACGTTCTGAGGCTAATCTTTGAGTTATGCGAGATACATACATACATACGGACGGACGTCACGAAAAAATCTCTTTTGAATCCATTTTAAACCAATTTTATAATTCGTTTGAAAAAAAAGAAAAAGAAAAAAGAAAGAAAAAGAAAGAAAAAAGAGAGAGAGAATCCTTTATTCTGTCCTTATGTGCAGATGTCACGCAAACACATCGTTAAATTGCATTCGATAGCGATCAAAATGGATATTTTCTTTTAAATATGATATCCAGAATTTTTCGTGATTACAGTACTTCCTTTATTTTGTACAAGGAATAAGAACAGAAAGAACACCTGACAGATCCAAATGAAAAATGATAATGGCTTTAGTTCTATAACATTCACTTAACTAAAATTTTAAAGCTTTCTTTCAAATCTGACAAAGTAATAAACCAATCATATTGGGAAAAAATCCTATAAATTCCCCCAAAATTCAGATATTTTTTTAAGATTATTTTAAATACACTTGAAATTTAATTTATGGAACTTTTGCTTCGGGCTCGTTTTAATATGTTTGCATTAATGTGACCAATACAGCCAGCTCTATGGAATCTACACCGGGAAAGAAAGTTAGTGGCATTTTGTAATAAGTGCCACTAACTTCCTTTCCCGATGTATCGAGATAGAAGGGATACTTGCGTGCAGACCAAGACTCAATAGCATTTTATCATTAAAACTATAAGGACTTTCTTCTTGAGCATTACATACAAAAAATATAAAGTTAACGGTCCACTTTACGAAACTTAAATTCACATTTCATAAGTATCCTACGAAGATTCACAATTCTTTATATTTATCAAGGTAGGCATAAAATCTTTACCTTAGAACGACAGCCGATTTGGAAGAACTTTCCTCCACGTCACGTACTCTTAACATGAATAATTAACGGCTGCTGGTTCCTTCCATATGATCTGCGACTCCTTTTATGACTAGACTCGGCTGTCGTTCTTCAGGAAGAACTCCAACTCAGGCGGGATCAGACATCCAACATAAGACAGCTGCAAGCCGACTACCACTTCCCAGTTAAGTGCTTAAATCACTCCGCGCTTCCCAAAGTCTACACGATCCTCTGGAGGGAACGGAGCTTATGACTAAGTTCGAAGGGATAGATAAATATCGAAATTGTTACACAAGATGAAATTTGTAGGAAATGTGCAATTTTGATAAGAGATAGGAAGAAAGAAATTTAAGCTGTGATTACTTGGAAAACCATGAACACATCGGCTGTGCGCACTTTGACATACATTGTATGGCAAGTCAGACTTGTCTGAATCTTTTATGGCTGGTTTCAATCTGTGAACTGAACCCGTTTGTGCGCATTACAGTACCTATCTTGAATGCAAACTGTGCTTGTTCAATGACGAACTTCTAACGTCAGTTACAAAAATTCAGTTTAGTTAACATAGTTAGTCATAGAAATGCATTGATCGTTAACGCAAATAAGGCAAATTAATATTAAAAACAAATTACTTCTCGCCCCTAATCGGGATAGTGTTTAGTGGCCCTGATTGCCGTACTGAAGGGCCCTTGTTCATATCCTGAAGAAGGCATGTATGTTTGTAAATATATAGTGTCTGTGCGATATGGAGGCACTCTAAATATGTGGGGAGCCGAAAGTCCTTTCGAGAGGTTAATCGTAGGGGAAGGGGCTGCGAGACCCTCGAACCCATCCCCCCGGTGTACTCTGTCTCAAAACTGGGGGCGGAACTGAGCTAAAATCGGTCTGTCACTTATATGGCGCCAAAGGCTAGTCATAGGCCAACGACAGTCGCATTTTGCTCTTCCACGATTAATGTCCTGGGTTTGTGCTGACCTTTGTCAGACTAATGAGGCTGGTAACAACAACAGTAACAGATTACTTCTTTTCAGTCAATCTGTCTTTAAAAGTACCGAATAATAAAAAAATGAAAACCTTTATTTAGGAGATAACATAAAATCTCCTCAATTACTAACTAGCATTACCACCAGAAAATGAGTTCATTTTGAAACATGCACAAGAAACGTCTTTTTTTAAGATGTCAAGATTACAGTTGGCTAAGAAGTGCCTTATTTTAAGCACCCATGTTCAAAAGAAGAAATTTGATACTTCAAAAATCACTGTTTTTTTCAAGGTATATTATTTCAATATTTTATAATTATGCTTGACATTTAGGCAACAATCATGTAATATCTAAACTGCAATCTACAGAGTAGTATTACGGGAATGTTATAATCATCTTTTTTTCTGCAGAAATAGCCATGAAAGCGTTAGCATAAGAAACCACAAAAGGAAGAAACATGTTTAAATCATTTGCATTTAAAATAATTTAAAAAGCTATATTAATTCGGGATTTCTTAGCATATTCATCTCAGTTATTAAATTTCTTCTGAGTGAAACTTGTTTACAAATCAATCAATAAATGAAACACAAAATGAGAAAATAAAATGAGCTGTTCTTATTCCCATTTAAATTTAAGTTGTTCCGACAATTTGCTCCTTTATAAAACAGTTCATAAAAAGGATTAATAAATGCAGAATCTCTTGCCGAATTCCTGTTTATGAAAGTTGGCAAATATTGCCTATATTTAGTTAACATACATTATATAATAAGCAAATGAAAATGAATAGAATGAAATTGCCTTTCTTTCCCTTTCCTTATTACATTAAGAAAGTAAATAGAAATAATTTTTTAATTCAGTTCTCTCTATTTACATAATGAATTTGCTCACTGCTAGTAAATATATATGCAACTACTAGGTACATTGCTTTCTTTCATATGTACTATTTTGATACATTATTGTATAACAGTTTATGATAAGTTACTGTTTCTGAAAGGAACTCTTAAGAAAATCTTACTAGAGGTTTTCCTGGAATATAACATATAATCTTATCATAGCTATAGGTTTTTAGAAAAATTATTGGTACTGTAGGCTAGAACTATTAATGTTAAACGAAAATAGCAAAGTATGATAATTTAAAATACAGGGTACGGTTGCGCAAGTCCAACCTATTAAATATTAGGCGTAATATCATGTCAACTGCATAACGAGTTACCCCTAGTCAATTATATTGTTTCACATCGGGTTCGTTTTCCTATAACGTTTGTGAGGAAGAACGAGAAGAGAATATGAATCAGTGCATATAAAATG